AGCTGAGGATTCATCCCTGCAAATCCGTGTATTATGTCATTAGTCTTGTTAATGACGAATTTCTTCAAACTTTACGAGTAAATTTACGAGCACATGCAAGTACGAATTTGGAACTTATATTTTTTTTTATGCTTAGTTAAAAAAAGATAACGATTTTCTAAAACAAGATCATTTTATGCGAATACCGACACACGTACAAGTCTTTATTGCTAAACAAGAGAATTTATTAAAAAAAAAACACTCTAACTTGTAATTCAAAAGTACATGTACAAGTTGGTTTGCTAAACCTCTCTACAGCTTAAGACCTTTCAACATTGACCTAATACAAAGTATTAGAGACCGCTTGAATCACGCTGTCTGTAAAGTACTTATAATTTATCAATACAAAGTTTCGTTTTGAAATGTATGAAATGATAATGTTTGAAAGTTAAAAATTGTACATATTCGAAGTCATTTTTTTAAAAGCTATGAACGTTCTTTAAGTTTCCATTTCACTTGATCCATTTCTGTAAACTCTCTGCTAGGTAGTTTGTAAGACAGCAATGTCAGAATCCTTTCGCGGTCAAAACCATCATTCTTCATCGTATACGGTAACATAGAAGCAGTTTTCTAGGGGAAAAAAACAGTGTGATTCAAGCGGTGTCTAATACTTTGTATCACATAAATAAATAAGAATGAGAAATCCTTCCATAAAGATATATTTACCAATAAAGAACAGTTTAAACGCATGGTTAACATACTGTAGATTCCTTATTTTTCGCGAGTACTTTTTATCGCGATATGGCTCTTTAACGTCAAATCGCGAGTGGAGGGTTGATCAAGGGATTTTTCATGGATTTTAGCACGATAAAAATAAAAGCGAGTAATTTTATTTCGCGAGTGGTGTTTTTTGCGAAATTACGCGATAAATAATTCCTCACGTATATCTAGGAATCTACAGTATCCAGTCTGAAAACAAAATAAGTTATGCGCATGTAGGTTTTCAAAAACTCGTGTATGCACGTGTACTTAAATCTGATTGGGTTATGCTCATTTTGCTATATGTGCGTTGTTATTTCACTCAATGATTTAGAAAATATGATAAAAAAAGTCTATAATACAAAGATTTTGCTTAATTTAATGAAGCTTATAAGGAATTGGACACCAAAAGGAAATAGAGGAGCGTTTAGAGAATCATCTGTAACGCTCTCCGTTACAGTCAGAACTAGTTCTATTCGTTATAACTAGAAAAGAATTCAGTCTCGTCAGTATACAACGATCCATGTCGGTATATCGTATTTTCTCGCCTACAAGTCGGTCCGCTTATAAGTCGGTTGTATTTTTATGCCCCCGTAATCGAAGATTCGGGAGTAGATAGTTTTTGCCCTGTCCGTCTAGCTGTCTGTCTGTCTAGCTGTCTGTCGGTTCGTCTGTCCGCAAAACTCTAACCTTTGTTATAACTTTTGATTAGTTGAAGCTATGGCTTTCAGATTTCACATGTGTATACCTTGTGACAAGACCTTTCTTTTAGTACATCAAATTTGACCTTTCAACCTTGATCTTGGAGTTTGACCCACTTTTGCCTAAACTTTATTAGACCCTAACCTTGGTCATAACTTTTGAATAGTTGGTGCTATGGCTTTCAATCTTCACATGTGTATACCTTGTGACAAGATCTTCCTTCGGATACCAACAACTTTGATAGTTTGACCTTGACCTTGGCGTTTGACCTATTTTTGAAAAAAAAAAGTTAACCTTGGCCATAACTATTGAACAGTTGGTGCTAGTGCTTTCATACTTTACCTTGTATTCCATGTTACAAAGCCTTCTTATGGATACCAACAATTTTGACCCTTTGACCTTGGAGTTTGACCTCCTTTTGAAAAACCTTAACCTTTGTCATAACTTTTGCACTATTGGTGCTAGGGCTTTTATATTTCACATGTGTATTCCTTGTGTCAAGACCCTCCTTTGGATACCAAAATTTTGGCCTATTGACCTTGACCTTGGAGTTTGACCTACTTTAAAAAAATTAACCTTGGCCATAACATTTTAACATTTTGTTCTAGGGCGTTCATACTTCACGTGCACGTGTATCACTTGTGACAAGACTTCCCTTGGGCACCAGGTGACCCTGACCTTGTTGTTTTTCTTAACTTTTAAAAACTTTAACCTTTGTCATAACTTTTCAACGGCTGGTGTTAGGGCTTTCATATTTAACAGGTATATTTCTCGAGACAAGACCTTTCTTTGGGTACCGACATTTTTGATCTTTTGACCTGCAGTTTGACTTGCATTTAAGAAACTTAAACCTTCGCAATAAGCTGCCATACGGGGAAATCGATGTTTCACAAACACATCTTGTTTCAGATTAATTCGGAAGAATTAGTCATTCACCCGCTTATAAGTCGGTGATATTTTGTACTAGAATCTGTAGCCAATTTCAGATGAATAATCTATTGTATCTACCAGCATTTCAAAAAATATTTTGGGGCAAGACATAATATTTGTTTTCAGTCAGTATAGCTCAGATGGATAGACCACAGACGCTTACCATCAACATTTTAAGGGACCTGGTTCTAATCCACCTGTTGGCACACTTTTACTTTTCAAAATTTTCCCCTGTGTAAACACCATTTTATTTTTTTATACAGGCTTGTGCATTTTACGTCTATTTTCTTCCTGAAAGGTTTTGCAGAAAGTCTAATCATGGTTAGATATCAAAAAGCATTCTATGTTCCCCCCAGAACATTGGCATCTATTTCAGCTTTGTTGTTGGTACACCTATCATAGAACATGTATGGAAATGCATTTGCAGTTTTCTTTAAAGAATAGAATGTAAATCCCACTGAGAGACGTGGAGACCGGTCTTTCGGATGAGATTGTATAAACCGAGGTCTCGTGTCGCAGTATGTGCTGACACGAAAAAAGATCTTTCACTGCTCAATGGTCCTGAGTGCCAAGTAAAGGTCTAAATTTGCAGTCCTCCATCGGTAAGTGGTGGCGTCTCCATATGAGTGAAAATTTCTCGAAAGGGACGTTAAACAACAAACAAACAGAAGAATAGAGAGTAAATTTACATTATACCTATGCAATAATTCAGTACATTCAATGGCAATTATAATTTTACAAGTGTATATAATTTCTTATATATATATATATTATCATTATAAGTGTATAACTGAAAACTAGGTAGCTCTCTGGCAGTCCTGCACAGTCACAGTGAAATTGTCAATCAGGTAAGAAACAAAATGCAACTTGCTAGCATATAGTTTAGTTATGCTAATCTTGAAGATATTTCCTATTATTATACTTTCATTTTAAATACTAAAATCCGATTGGTTTAGACGCATTTAACAATCCGTAATGTTACCCTCAGCGTTAGCAACACACTTGACAACGGGTAACATTACCAAAATGTCACATGCGTTGAAATCATGCGCGTACGGTTCACCGTAGAATTCTCAAAACGTCGGTTGTGCGTTTGAAAGAAGCCTTATTAACGACGTCAATAAAAGCTTGCGTCCGATGTAGCTTACTTGAAAACAACAAACGACAGACGAAACATCCTTGCGAGTGCAAACTTTAGATGATAAAGAACTTTTTGAGTAGCAAACAAACAATAAAGAGGTTGGTAAATCTTTTCAGAAGCTTTCTTATTGAGAAAAATAGAAGCGGGGAGTTTGAAAGCTTTCTAACCGTGAACTTAACGACGATCTCCGAATTTGTTTTATGACATCCGAAATAATAAGACATTCAGTATAATAAAATAAATAGTGCACGTTTTTGAGGGTAACAGTTGAAATTGACACCCCTCGGAAAACCATTGTCAACCTCCGCTGACGCGTCGGTTGACAATGGTTTTCCTTGGGATGTCAATTTCAACGATTACCCTCAAAAACGTGCACTATTTATATAATATGTACAGGGGTTATAACGTTAGTATTGACAAATTGATAGTATAAAATCGTTTGTGCATGGCACATAGTTGTGCATGTATACGAATCTTTAAATTTTTTTAAAAAGAAATTTTATTCAGTGAATAAAGGGCTTATTTAGTTTTGAAAAATTCTGGTATTGCAAAGTGCATTTCATTTCATCAATTTTACCGTTAAATACAATGTAACTCTCTCTTTTTTTGGAAAACTTCCATGTCAATCATTTTTTGGAGGGTCAATTTCGTACCTTATTGCTGGGATGCAACTCTTAGGCTATAACAATTAGGAAAACATTAACAAAGTTTTGCCACAGTTATAACTTCGTCCACATAAATAATATAATAAAGTCAAAAGACTTTACTATGAAGTTTCAAAGACATGTATTACTCTTTTTTGCATTGAACCACTAAATCGGGGTATGCAAAATGCAAAACATCGAAAAGAAATGAATTCTTGAGTTTGATTGATGAGTGAAAGTTAGGTGACCATGATGTTGAGCGCAGTGAGGGGTCTGAGGATTAATTTTGGAAAAAACAGATGCTTGGTTGGGTATGATCTTTGAGAATAACAACGCAAGGCAATGCAAAGAACCTTTTAATGTATTATAGTTGAAGGGGGATTTTATATCTAATTGGTCACAGTCAATGATATAATGTCAACTGAGTTTGTGGTGAGAGTAGCTAGAGGCTTTATGCTCCATTTATTTCAGATTAAAACTTACAGGGGAGACAAGGATGCTAAATGGGATAGCAATAAGTTACCATTAATAGTATCTATGTTTTTTCTTGACGAAATGTGTTGTTATTTGTTACATTAATTTATACATTTTTTTTCAGTTTCAATGGATATGAAATTAGCTGATGAATTAAGTTGAAATTGATTTTTTACAAAAAAACAAACAAACAAACAAAAACAAAAAACAAATCAACACTGTCCACAAAAGAACGATTTAGGTTTTGCACTCTCCGTTGTATTATCGGAAAACGCAGAATCAAAAAGAGGTAGGTCAAAACAATTTTCATGATATTAAATTAATATTTCAAACATCAGTAATTAAATTTAGACATTACTTAACACCAACAAAGGATTTGATGCGCTACTAATCTACAAAATATTCAAGCAATCCTTTAAATACACCACCTTTACAGTGTAGGTACTAAACTGTGGACAATTTCACTGCAGATATTTGATTTTCATGAGCTGTTCATTAATACTTTGAATAACAAATAGATTGTCACTTTTATCTGTACAGAGTCCTCGGGGTTTGCTTGAAACACAGTCTATATAACGGAGAAACTGTCCATCTTTGTCTATGATGTGGATAGAGAGGTTATTAGAGTCCCCTGTAAGGATGTGACTATGACTGTCTGTAGCGATTCCTCGTGGTTTGAATGTTTTCTTTTCAACAGGAGTATGTCCAGTGTATTTAAACCTCAGTTTCCCGGCCTGATTGACCACCACAACTGCTTTAGCTCCTGTGTCAGCCACACAGATATCTAAGTTTCTGTTTTCAGTTATGTATTTTATTAAAAATCCACGAGATGGATATAGAGAAATCCCTAAATCGTCAAACTGAATTGTGTGTTTCGGTGTGGAACCAGAGTAACGGACAACTTTAGATTGTTTTTTATCATCACTGTCCATAATAACCAGAAGGTCACCAGAGCAGCTGGTGCAGACACCCAGGGGTCTCCAGTTCTGTAGTCGTATCACCTCCTCTATGTCTTCATTCTTCAAAATATTAACAGTTTTATTCTCATAATCAACATAAAGAAGATCTCCAGTGTTTGTTAATGAGATGTAGAATATTGTAGTCATTGAATTAATTGTGATTGACTTAAGTTGTAATCCTTGTTTGATGCTGAAGAGTTTTACAGTATTGTTATCTCCAATTGTCCAAATTTCTTTATCATTGTTACAGGCAACACTGTGTATATAATCGTTATACCCAGTGTTTATGGTAATGATAGTCTCTGGTTCCTCGAGCAGTTGTTTGAGTGAAGGAGTGGATCTGATTTCTAGTTGCTTTTCACTTGTTTTCATGCTGTACTCATTTTTTTCTCGGAAAGTAGTTGTTGATAAAGCCCCAAACACCTTAGAAAGTTGTTCCCCATTGATTCTTCCTGGGATGAATGTGGGTGAGGAAAGCAGAATTTTATGTGGTAGTTGTCTATACGTGTCTATATTGAAAGTATCTATAAATAATTTGGAAATGTCATGAGACTCGACAGCAATGTCTATTAAATATATTCCTTCTTTGATTTCAAAAGTGATCTTTTTTACATAATCAAGATGTTTTTGTAGAATATGTATCATTATGCTTTTCTTTACATCAATTTCAGCTTTAAGTTTATTAACAAGTTTGTCAATTTCATTGTGCCAGATTTCTCCCTGCTTTGATATGGTTGTTGAGAGATCTGCATAATTATTCATTTTCTAACTGACACATTCTGTTTTGTATGTCGGAGACAATTTCTTGGTAAGTTGGATAAATAACTTCCTTTAATTCAGCTTGATCTTTGGTTAGTTTTCCTTTTATTTCCTCAACAACTTGCAGGACTTCTGATAGTTTATGACCTAGATGTTGATTAGATGCAAGGCACTTGGTACAGACAGGAACATAACAATGATTGCAGTACATTTTACATCGTTCTTTAACATGAGATGTACAACCAGGATAGAGAGGAGAGGATTTTCTGTCTTTGAAATCAACAATTTTATGAGGTTTTGAAAGGTCAGCAGAAAAGTGTTCTCCCACGCAACCCTTGCACAAGTTGACAAGGCAAATATCACAGTGCATTTGTACAAAGGCAGTTGCACATAAGTCACACTGCATCACATCCTGGGCACTTTTACGTGGGTCCATGATTTAACTACTTGTGTTTCTGAAATAAAGAATAAATTTTGCGATTGGTAGGTAAGCTCACAAACAAAATTTAAAACACAGGTATGTACATGAATTATGTAACGTACTGAACTGTGTATCTTCAATACATAAATTCTCTTTTTACAAAGAAAGCTTAATACTATTGTGGAATTTGCTCAGCTCCTGACGTGTATTGTTTGAATAGATTTTGATCTTGAATACTGTTCGTTATCTCCATATTTCATTAAAAGATTTGTAGAGCCTGATAAATGTTGATTTTCAAAACGAAAATATTTCAAGATAGATTGTGACAGAATGGGCCAGACATTTCTGATTTGCATGGTATTTTCATCAAACAACACCAAAAACACCAAAAAATAATTATTATATTAAAAAAATACATGTTTTGTAGTTTGTATTGTCAAAATGACATAAACATAAATAGTCTGCAAGGTTCATTTCATCTCAGAGATCAATTTTCAAGATGAAAGAAATGGTGGTTTAATTTAATCCAAACTTTGAGGTACTTTCATTGATTCCATATTTGGATGAATTTTTTTCAATTGAGTTTTTGTTCTTCGAACAAAGTTCAGCACATTCCAGTGACGTTGTTATTTAAATATTTGAACAAATCATGTACATTTAGATTTTTTTATAGAAAGATTTCAAGAAAAAAGAAAACTTTATCATGTGATGTAACTTATACGTGCAAATATTACCTTACGTCTGAAAGTATAACAGCTCTCATAACGATCTGCTTAAAAATCCAAACATAATTTGTCGCTATGTATCCAGTCACATGACCAACTTACCTGTGTTTATACATGTAAGATTTTATGCTTCCTGGTTCAAATAGGGATTTAAATTAACTTCTTTTTATCTACAAGTATTATCATAATTGTGAAAAAGTAGGGTTGACAATCGGATATGGAATTGCCAATATATAAGCTGCAACACTTTCCAATCGATTGACTGGTTATTTAGTTGCAGCCAAAAAGACCAAAAAAAAAAAAAACAAACAAAAAAAAAAAAAAACAAAAAAAAACATGATTTTTTTTTCTCAAATAGGCGCTTTTCATATCAACAAAAAACTACAAAGGACATCAGTGATACTCTGTTTATGTATGTTAAATCAGGACTACATAACTTATGTTTCAATTTCATGATAATACAGAAAAACCATGAAGCATGCACGAGACATTAGAAAAAGAAACATGTAAACAAGATCATTCTGTATTGCGAGGATCAGCAGAGCTATCAATAAAATGTTTAGTTATAACGGAGAATGAACTACATTTATATTTATTTGTTAGACTATTTTTTAGTCCAAGAATCGTCGTTTCAAGGTAAGATAAATGTATTTTTAAGCCTTCACAAGACAGAGTATTTATTTCAGAATGACCAGAAAGCTATTAATTTTCTCTTCACCGACAAAACATTGGCAATAACAACAACACCAAAAACAATAATAATAAGAAGAAGAAGAATGAAATTGAATTATAAATTAAAAAATACCCAGACTCAGAAATCTCTACTTCATGTGAAGAATTGTTGAGGATGTTCCACATGTCAAGGTCAGATTATTTATTTTCTTACCAGTGAATAAGAGTTTATTTATGTTCATCATTTTGAAGGACGACTTTTTTCAAAATTATCAAGACCTTCCTCTTTCAGATTGAATTAGTCGATCCGTTATCTTCAAAACAAAACAGATTACCAAACCAAACCTTCTGTATTTAAGTGGCATCTGTTAGTTCATTTCCTTGGTTTCTGTTTTGATGGTAGCCTTTTCAGTTGTTTATCATACTAAAAAAATAGTCGAAGAATCTTTCTGACATTGCGGCTTTTTCATGGCTATCTTGTAAAAGAAATCTTTACACTACAAGATTTTATCACATTGTTAAACCTTTAAGCCCGTTAAATCAGAATGGGCATTTAAAAACTTCTTGTATGAGGAATAAAAAGAATCAAGTTGTATGATTCACATTTTTTGGCAAAGAGCCTAAATTTACTGCTCTTCCCTATTTAAACCTTCTCAAACTGAAAAGGGTCATTAAAGGATGATTATAATAAATAAATTAAAGGATGATTATAATAAATAATTATAATAAAAGATGACAAATATTTATGTGTCTTACAGATGCTTAAAACAAAGGAATATTTCATGAAGGCGTTGATGGGATAAGGAAACTCATTGCTTTGGCTATAAGCGCCATGTATATGTCAAAGAACTGCGAACGATAGTATTGTTCTCCCGCCTACCTCCAAGTCAAGATATTCGAATGATTTTTAATATTTGTATTGATATTTATATGGATTTTCATAAAACATTGCTTCTTTGGGAAAACCACGAGAGATAACTCTAAAATTTTGGTAAAACTCGTGTTTTTCACTATAAAAATCAACGGAAAACGGAAAATATTTTTAAAACATCTCCCCCCCCCCCCGTGAAACAAAAATTCCTTTTTACGGGTAATATGGACTGTTATTTCAAACATTCATACCAAAGCTTTTTGTGTTTCACGGGGGGGGGGGGGACATATGTTTATATACAAAAAACGACAAAAATTCTTATTTTTTCAGCAATTTCCAAGTGATTTACAACTGAAACATTATATTTAACTAATATATATGCTTAATTTTATATGCATTAAACATACGAAAAGATTTGAGAAACATTTATTCATATCCAAGACTATTTCAGAATATGGTGATGCTGTATAGCCCGATTTCAGTGGAAAATATCGTCTCTCCCCCCTCCCCCCCCCCCTTATTTCAAGAGCTGGAATTAGGGATATTTTACTAATTTAGCACTGGAATTAAAATAATTAATCAATTACCATTGAACTGTTCTTTGTATTAAACAAAGATTTTATGGCCATGTTGTCATCAATATTGAATTAAATGGTTGTAAAATGTAGGCGGGAATCGGGAGTTACCGTGCGTAGTTCTTTCTAGTACTTAACCTTAGGAAGGTGATATATCTACATGAGTGAAAGAGGTCTCAAATTGGACTTCAAACAACATAAAATCAATATCAATAATTGTATGTAACCCTTCCTGAAATCATGAAATTCTGGCTGTGTCATTACAGAATGTTTAAATTAGTATATCAACATGCTAAATTTTGGAAATGTGTTTTCATTGAAATGGTTTGATTATTTGTATTTTGCTTGTCAAAAAAAATTACGGTGTCAGCTCATTTCTCTCTAAAACCCTTTCTCTCCTAGGTTTTTTCTCTCCAATACCATTTCACGGTAGGTCATTTCACTCTCCTACCTGTGTCATCCCTGTCCGTCTGTGTTCTTGGATTCATGTCTTTTCAAATAAAATTCAAATGCAACATTAAAAACGATGTGAAAGAGATGTGCGGCAGTCGTCGGCGATAAGGATTTAAGATGAAATTTAAAAAAAAAAAAACACCTAAAAATAGACTTGATTGAGTTTGCACGAGAAGAGTGGAAAATAAGGGGAGGGGGAGTACGAAGTTCACCTAATGTATGTTGCATCTGTGAACTATTTTGAAGGGGACACAAAAGAAGGGAAAGCAAACAGGTTTTTCAGGAATTTATCCAACATAGGAAGTTTTCTATAATTGCGAATTTTCCTTTTCGTTTGGATCAAAATAACTTGTATATTCTGTGTGGAATAATCTTTTAAAAGTGATTGAGAAATTTTGACATTTTACATTCCTAAGGAAATATTTCTCTAAAATTTATAATAGGAAAAAAAATCAGCATTTACTATTTGTACGTGCTTTTGATAAATTGAATCAGATTTATTTTTACACTGTGCTGTATTTTAGATACATAACAGTTGGCTAATACAAGACAGTATACAGGGCTAATACAGAACGGAAAGTCGCTCCGCCCACTGTCGTCCCGTTCTGTATTGCTAATACTGAACAGCAAACTTCAAAGAAAAACACCGCTATCGTGTCACAATATAAGCTTAAAGATCCTCACACAGTTCCAATATTTTGTCCTGTAGTAATAAGATTGTCGGACACGCTATCTTTGTTTAGTCCTTTCTCCAGACCTTTTTTCGTGTGAAGATTCTTTTATAAAAGATTTATGAGATCAAACAACGCTATAGTAACCAGAACTGACGTAATAACCACTGCAGCTAAATATCCAGTTCCTTGGGCTGGCGCTCTATCGTCATTTGCACAAGATTTCGTTCTTACTACTGAAGATAACTCTGATTTGTTAATTCTAAGCTCTGCAATAACTTCATTAAATTTGACGTTTGGGGATTTAGTAAAAACTTAAAGTGAGGTTGAACTTTCTACAAACATAGTATCTATTGAAGTGGGAACTTTTGGTAGCAATGCTTCTCTAGAATTAAGACGATTTGGTGTTTGGATCCTGGTTAGAAACATGTTTTTTAATGTAGATAGATAGATAAGATTCTGGCGAAGCGGAAGTGATATCAGTACTGGACAGAGACGATGGAATTGGCAGAGGTGAAAGCATTCTCGTTTTTACGACCATATTTCCAGAATTATCACGAAAACTATCAGCGAAAACACCTGAATCGATAGTAACATATGATTTTCTTAATTAAA